AATAACAGGCGATAATGCGGGTCCGCTTTAAGAAACAAGCAAGAAATAGATCCCACAAGCGTTTCTTTTTTTTAATCTACATGCTTTTTTATTCATGAGTCAACGGACAATACACCGTTATGTTGACGAGAACGAAGATGAACCCAGTGTTATTTTGATAAGAAGCCCCGCTGATATCGATCGTACGTATTATCTTCGTATATCCGCGGAATGTCAAAGTTGCAGCACGCAATTGTGTATCGCCTACGTACGCGGGAAATTCTGCAGCGCATACGCTTTTCTGGCGATATCTCTCGTCGAGCACAATCCGGGGACGTGAAATCGATCCGAATCACATCTTCGACCTGGATGCGATTCCTACGATTTCTACGGTAGTCCGCCGCATTCCTTTCACTTCGCTGACAACTGCTCGTGCCGATTGACAGTCCGCGACGTATTACTACAACTTCCCTCCGATTCACGCGGGAAAATCTGCGTCTCGAGCACTTTCTTAGCATTGATTTTCGGGGGCTTTTTTGACGATGAGGTTGTATCGTGAGATTATCGATGATCGTCATTACACGATCATTTTTTTTCTGGAAGATCAAAAAACAATTTTGGGAACTTTCATATTTATTCATATATATATATACAATTCTAGACGAGATTTTTATGTATTAAATAATCATCAATAATAATTTTTTATTATTGATATTCGATAAGAATAATATGGGAGTTAGTTTCTTATCAATTTTCTCGATCATCTTTACTGCAATGATATTTTTACATTAGCTAAATAATTTCAAAGATATTAAAAAATTCTGAACTGAATAACTCGAACGATATTTGCTCGACGATTTACTGTCGCAAATATCGTTCGAAAATATGAAATCGCTTTATAAATGTCTGTAATAATTTACAAGCGACCCGTGCGGTTTGAAAAATAAAGAGAATTCTTAGAGAAACGGGAATCGAATAATAAAATTGTACACATAAATATCCGCGAATGTGTTTTATGTAACACAGAAATTTTTCCCATAATCGCATTTCCAGCGACAAGAGGAAAGGAGGATGCGAAATCTTCTTTCACGCAAAATATTCCGCATTTTTCGTATCCTTCTAACAAACGAATTAATTACGAGAAAAGTAATAGTAATGTTTGGAAGAGTCGCGCGCGGTAAACGTGATGAATGCCGAGTAATCTCGCGTCCGTTCCTCATTATCTTTCATCGCGAGGCGTCATGTACAATCGATACATACACGTAAACATGTACGAAAAGCTCGCTATTCAAGTGACGGCATGTGCATATGCATGTGCATATGCACGGATATATGCATGCGCTCGCTAGTTACGTGCATATGCGCAACGTTGCGGGGTCAATGCCCGCACGTGTTCTATTCCCATCACTAATACATTCGCTGACAAGGAGCGGTAAAGCGTGCTTCGGGGTGAAACGGTGCTATTTTTTTTTTTTTTGTGAATGCGTAACACGACAACACGGGATTAAAGTTCGCGAAAAATTGCGCAATTAAATGCGTATTTTTTGTGCTATTGCTATATTTCTTATTGATTATTTTGCCGCCTCGCCACTTGAAATTGCAAAAATTAATTGTAAGGGCAAAAATGAGTTTGAGGTTTTTGTAAAGAATTATTGAACGGTTTTCCTTCGCGTATCGCAAATTGCGATAGATATTGTTTATTTTGTATAAATTGAAATAAATGATCGTTGTATAATCATTTTTTTCTGAAAGATTAAAGGATAATTTTGTGAACTCTTGTATTTACTTGTATTTACTTGATTAGTTTTATTTCAAGGCAAAGTTGTAATTTTTATATATCAACCAATTTTACTAAACAATTATTGATAATAATTTTTTTATTATTTACAAGTAACGGAAGAACTGTTATTTTTTTTCTTAATTTGTCAGAGAAAATTCAAGAATGATATTTTAATAAAATATATTTTACGTCAGGAAATTATTTTTAATAATAATAAGAAATTGTATCTTTGTAAATTGATTACGTTTTGAAATCTATAAAATGTCTCAATACTCTTGCGATATTTGTTTTTATTTGTTTGAAGTAAAAAAAAAGAAAATGTGAAAGGCAATAAAACTCCGCGAAATATTGCGCAACGCAAAAGCACTGCTGCGTAGAATCCTAGAATGGTGAGGGGAGTGAAGTCACTACTCCATTCATGGGATTCGTTGGCTTTAATGGGGTCTCGAGGACGAAAGGGAGGGCCGGAATCCCTTCCTGCGGGGAAAGGATCTGAAGTTGAAGGTCACACATCCCTTCGCGAAAATTACGCACTTTGAACGCAATCGATGCTGGACAATGCATAGAAGGGATCACATACAAAATTTACGTTTTAATTCCAAAATACCGTCCATTTACTCAAAGTGACAAAGCAAAACGCTAGACAGTTTTAGCGAGTTTTATTTCAACGGTCTTTCAGCTTTTTAATATTATTTTATTTCAATAAAATGATAAAAAATTGGGAATGTATTGGACCTCTGTAAAAAATTTCATGAGTCAGTTCACAGTTGACAGGAAATTTATGATCGATCGAACGCAATTTTTAGGCCATCTTAGTTATGCATTTATATAAAATTAATAGATAAGTCGTAAGGAAATTGTGAATTGATAAAATGAATATTTATATCTCCATTAATTAATTATATTATACGTCTCTTGAATAGATTGTTATTCAGGTAATTAAGACAATTGAGAATTCGCCGATATACACAATTCAACTCTCATTTTGTTAAATTAAATTTGATTCTTTTCATCACGTCCAATCGAAGAATAGATATAGAAAGTGAGCAAATATCGAAAATGGGAATTTTAAGAG